GGCCGTGCAGGCCCATTACCTGCGCAGCCCCTCGCCCAGCCGGTGAGTCCCCAGGCACCAGCACGGCTCCTGGCAGCACGTGGGAGTGCCGCCCTTCCCTGCTTCCCTTCCTGTCTCCTCCACCCTGGCACCTGGGCCAAGCTGAGCCCGGGGATTCCCTGCCCTCCCCGAGGTGGGGTCAGTGTGCCACTCACACAGAGCCTGCAGACAGGACTCCTGCACTGATTAATCCACCCTGCTGGGAGAGTGGAGCAGGCATAAACTGCAGGAAGGATTACTGTGGGCTGCTGGTGTCCCTCTTCCCTGTCTCACCCTCTCATACCCCTATGCTGAAACTTCTGATCCAATTTCAACTCTTCACAAATTCAGCTTCATCTTTATGTCCATTATAAGGACTTGTGGATTTATTGAATGTTGATATTAGGCTTTGCCAGCCCTAGAAAGACCAAAGATCTTGGGATTTGGGTTTGATTCAGAACCAGCTTTAGCTACAGGCTTCAGGCACTGAACAGGAGGCTGTCACAGTACAAGCAGAAATTGAGTTACCTCAAGCAAAACAAGCATGATTAGATGTGTTTTCTCTTAACACAAGGAAAAATACACCCCTCTGTTCTCTTTTCCTAAAGCAAAATGCTCTGCAGGGCTTTCTGTAACCTTTGAGATGCTTTAGCTGAAAGCAGGGTGTAGGGATAGAGTTTAAAAAGAACCTTCCCCAGTGTCCCTCGACAAGTAGGAGGTTATGAAATGTTTCCTGCTAACTGTGGGACACTGCAGAAAAATTGAGTACTTATTTCATTTAACCACATGAAATCAAAATTGTTTAGGAAGATCACTGAGTTCACATAAAGTAAAATTATGTATTGTAAAATTATGTATTGAGCTCTCTCCTACTGCTCATCAGTCACTCAAAATGAACAGAAACGTCTCTCCAGATTATTCCCTTCCTTTTCCTTTTTCCTTTTTCCTTTTTCCTTTTTCTCCCTTTTTTTCTTGCTGTTAGTGGCAAAACACAGTGATGAAAATGGCAAGACCATTCCCAGCCAGAAGGGGGTCCTTGAAAGACCCAGGCTTGGGCAGATTCTGTGTTTCACAGAGGCTCAGGGCAGCTACAGGTAAAACATGTTGAGCCTGTGGTGGCAGATTATTGCCAACTGCTACCTTTTTATTGAGCTTAGGGGCAGCCTTTACAGCAGAAGGAATCGAAGGCAGGGCAAAGCTGCAAATTTGTGTCAGCTCCTGTAAATGAGACTGAGACTCCCCTTGCTCATCTCGTAAACTGCTTTGAAGAACTAGAAAAGGATTACTTGCAGTCACGGTTGACAAGTGCTGGAACTCAGCTAAATGACCTGGATGAGCCTGTTAAGTGGTTTCCCATGGCTGTGCCCTCTGTTTTGATTCTGGAGCCTGAAAGCAGTTCAGCTCTCCAGACACTGCTGCACCCCCACTGCATATTAATCACCCTCCCTCTCCTGCTTTAATCAAACAAAAACAAACAGTCTGCAAGCCTTGCATTGCCAGAGAGCTTCTGTGATGGCAGCACACTTGTCCTGGTGATTTGTACCATCTATTTGGAAGGCAGTGTAGAGGGTGTAGATCAGGAAAAAGCTCTGTAAAATATTTTATTAAGATGTTCTAACTGAGAGACTGAATCTTCTTGGACTGTATGGGTGCACCCAGAAGGAAATATATTTGTTTTTAAGGTTGTGGCCTTTTTTGCTTAACAAAAACTTATTACACTGTGTCAAATAACACTTCAGATGTGTTTGTGGGTGTCATAGTGGTTTCTGACCCACAGTTACACAACACTGAGTGAGTGGAGAGACTGATCACAGATTCATGCTCTGAAGTGCCCAAGGTACAAAGTACTGGAGGAGAGATTCATGGGCTTCAATCTCAGTGCTTGCACTGCAGCTTGTGGTAGCTCAAAGGATGCTTGCAGGCAATTAACTGGCAGAAAGAAAACCCAACAGTTTTCTAGTGCAATCTGTTTTGAATTACTCAATAAATTCTAGTTAGAGCCATGTTTATGTCTGTCTGTCTAAGTGGGAGTTACTTGTGAGACTATTTCTTGTGATCCATCCCCTCCCAGTCTCAAACCAGACACTGATGTTCTCTGCTCATAAACTCCTCCACCAGGCAATCTGATCACACTCCCAGCCCCCTGCAGCTTCTCCTCATGGGACCTGTCTGCATCCTGCAAACACTGGATGCCAAGGCATCTTTGAAACCTGTAGTGCCATGCTAGAGATTGGGGTGGGAATGAGATGTGGGAGAAGAGCTGGGACTTCCCTTCTACAATCAAAGAATCCCCCCTGCTCCAGTTCCCTGCTGTTCCCTCTGGAATGGGTGAAGAGGGCTGAAGTGCTGGGGATGGGATCCCAGTGGATCCCAGCATTTGCCTAACAGGCAGTGTGGTTGGTTGGCAGGTATTCAGTGATATCAGACACTGACACAGAGAGCATCTTCATGGAGCCAATCCATCTGTCATCTGCTGTGGCTGCCAAACAAATCATCAGTGAAGGTAAGAGACTGTGCAAGTTACAGAGACCTGAAGTTGCTCTTGCTTTGCCTTTCTCATCTACAGATCCTAAATGATAAAAAGCCCTTATGAGAAAACTCCATCTGAAGTAGAGAAAGAAATAAAAACTTACAGAAAGGTTTGGTGACCTCCTTTGAAGCTGTGCAATGAATCTGTGGCAGAATTGTGTACTGCAGGGGTAAAAGTTTGAGTGCTGGTTGCTTGCTGCAACAAGCTAAATCAGACTAGAATGGAATAGAATAAAACAAAATGGAGTATTTCAGTTTAAAGGACATATGTGATCATCTAAGTCCAACTATCAGGGCTGACCAAAAGTTAAATCATATTATTAAAGCACTGTCCAACATCTGTTAAACACTGTCAAGGATGGGGCATTAACCACCTCCCTAGGAAGCCTGTTCCAGTGTTCGACCACCCTCTCAGAGAAAAAGTGGTTCTCTATGTCCAGTCTGAATCTCCTCAGTTCAGCTTTGAACCATTCCCACATGTTTGATCATGGATACAAGGGAGAAGAGCCCAGCAGCTCCCTCTCCACTTCCCCTCTCTGGGCCTGGAATAAGGGTGCCCTGAGGCAGCTCCTAGGAACACCTGCCCACACTGCAGACAGAGCAGGGTGGTATTTCTGGAGAAAAGCCACAAGGTTTGTCCAGGCACAAGTAATGATAGCTCATCCATTTGCATTGTTTTTGTGTGCTTTTGGTTACAATGTCAGTTTATTCCAGAGCTGAAGACAAAGGATGTCAGGGTGGACTCGGTGTGTCCCAGGATGCTGGAGTCTGCGCAGCAGCTGATGGTGGAAGACCTGTACAACCGAGTTAAGGAGAAGATTGATGACACCAGCTTGTTTAACACGCCGTGTGTGATGGACTTGCAGAGGGCACTCATGAAGGACAGGCTGGAGACCCCCAGGGATGCTGTGGATGAAGTCTGGCCTAATGTCTTCATAGCAGAAAAGTGAGTGTCGGCTTCTGTCATCAGGCTGCACGAGATTCCCAGTAAAGGGTCAGATGGAACCATTGAAGGCATAACATGTATTACATGCATCTAATACCTTTCATCCCTAGAGAGCCCTAAAGTGTTTTTCAGACTGTGCTCACAGAAATCTCTATGCACTGGAAAGTAAATACTTCTGGAATAGAATCAGCAGCTTTCCTATTCTGTTTAGATGCTTCAACAGTTTAAGAGAGGAAAAGACAAATAAGCCCAAATTCCACTGTTCTGACTGGAATTTGGCCCTAAAATTGGAACTAAAGTCTTTGGTATGTAGAAGGGAGTTTAAAAGGTAATGCCAAAGCAAATGTCAAGTAAACATTATTAGGTATCCTGTACCGTGTTCAGCTATATGTGTAAGTGAGCAGACAGAATTAGAAGGGGATATAGAGTAAAGCATCAATTATGGAGTGGTAAAAATTGTAAATTTAAATAAATTTAAAATAAATAAGTACATGGTCTGATCCTAGGATGGCAGTATGAGTTTCAAACCAAGCTGGAGTGGAAACAGAGCATGTGGCTCTACAGGCAAATGCAGGCTTCTTGTTTTCTTCTCAGAGTGAGTATTGGAAAGGGATACCTGTAGAACTCTCAAAGGACATTAAGATCTGAGTGGCGCCTCATGCTGAATGAGTTACAAGGACTGGGAGTTATGTGCACTTTGTAGCATGCAGCTCTTTTCCCACCTAAAATAGGGGCACTGATATCTAACATGTTTTTCCCTTTTCTGCAGAAGTGTTGCAGTGAACAAAAGCCGTTTGAAGAGACTGGGGATCACCCATGTCCTGAATGCAGCTCATGGCACAGGTGTCTACACAGGAGCAAGTTTCTACAATGGTCTCAATATCCAGTACCTGGGCATTGAAGTGGATGATTTTCCAGATGCAGATATCTCCAAACACTTCCGCCCAGCTGCAGAGTTCCTTGACGAAGCCCTGCTGACTTACAGAGGTAAGAGGAGATTGAAGTGGTTCCAGGTTCCTTGGGAATTAACAGGGAGAAACCTTACTCTGACAAACAGCTGATATGCCACACTTGTAATGGGGTAGAAGAGCCTTTGCCCTCTGCATGACAGTGAGCACCTCCTGCCTGTTTCTGCCCAGTCTCATTCAAACCAGGAGGGAGCAAGCTGGAAAGGGGAGGCAGCCCAGCAGCCCCATGGCTTCAGGTTCAAAGTTGGCTGCAAGTCAGCTCCTGCAGCTGATTTGAAAGAACCTGACTATAGCAAAGAGTAGAATCCCTGCTCTAATAATTTTTTTTAAAATATTGATAGCTATAATACTATATAAATAGAGAGATAGGTATATTGTTGTACCCTGCACTTTCCAGTTTTGCCATGATGCCATAAACCAGGCTGATTTACCAGAACAACCCAAGTGGGTGAGTTGAACCTCTGGGTGTCTACACCCAGGCTGCTGTCAGATTTGCTGGACTTCAATTCCATGGCAACTGTTACTCTGTGGACCTCCAGTGCACACTGGTCATTTTGTTGCAAATTCAGTGGACAGTTAGAAATATCTTTTTGCAGTTCAGTATTGAAAGAAGCACTGGGGTCTGTGATATCACTGATATTCCTCATATAAATTGTCAATTAATCTCATTTCTGTGGAGAGGCAACAGAAAGCAGTAGTGACGGTAAGAAAAGTGTAGAGTTTTGTTAGTATGCAAGGAATGTTGAGCCAGTTTTAATAGCTGAAAAACACAAGGAGGATGCACCAAGGCAGATGAACCTTGGAAGAAATGAAAGGAAGGAGATCTCCCCCTCTTGGTGAGCTGTTAGATTGGTTTAGCTGGCTGGTAAAACACTTGGAAGGTAACCAAGACTTTTGATGCTAAAGTATTAAAGAGATTTCAGGATGGTAGGAAGAGGTTCATTAGGTAAACCTCTTGTGGTAACATATCAGCAGTTAGAAAGATGATGCTTAAATTGGCTTCATTAAGTTTCAGTGCAAACAGATTGATTGAACTGGAGTTTATCACACATTTAGAAGCTGTAATTTCAGTTGTTTGCAAGCTTGCAAAGCCTCATTTACACTCTCTCCGTATTTACAAGCTTATCTTTAGCTGTAATTTGCCATACAAGTAACTTAAACCCCAAACAATTTGTCTGTGCCAAAGTTTGGTTTTCTGCAAGACGTAGTAAATGCTGTAAAATAAAGCAGATCCTCGGTTTTGATTCTTGCTTATACAGTTACTGGTGCAGGACACTGGGTCCCACTAGTTTAAAGCATCTGGATCAGTTTGTCAGAGTCAAATTCAGCTCTTTTCTGATAGTTGCTTTGTTCTGTTCTTGTAAGATATAACAGGACTTTGGCCTCCAGCCAGTCTTCAATGTAATTGTTTGAGGGTACCTTGCAAAACCGATCTAGATTCTGGCAAAAATACTATTAAATTAATATAAAATTGTTATTTAAGTCCTATAATGTCCCTTATAGAAAAAATAAGTTACTTGCTTATCCTCCCAGTACCTTCCTGGAGGCTAATGCTAATATCTCACTTTTTACATATTGAGAAAAAAGCATGGAGAGCTTAAATGTCTGACCCTATGTCAGCCAGCAAGTCAAGATTATCTCACTTGCCTTTCTAATACCTATTATGAGCTTTTTGACTATTTGAGTAAGTGAAGTGTGTAGGTGAAAATACAAATACTATTTAAATTGTTTGGAAATGTGCTTGCCCACAGTTTTTGAGACTAATGTGCTTTTTATTCGTATGTATCTAGATTTTTATTAAGGTAAAGCTAGTGAATATTTAGTGTTGGTTTCAGTCTCTGAAACATATAATCAGTGTAGTTTTTAACACTATGCAGAGAATGCTTTTGTGCTACATACCAGAGCATCCTGTCTGCTATTGGAAATAGCTGATGCCTTTCATGTTCACTGTCTGTAGGCAGAATCCTTGTCAGCAGTGAGATGGGGATGAGCCGCTCAGCTGTGCTGGTGGCTGCCTACCTGATGATCTACCACCACATGACTGTTCTGGAGGCTCTGATGACCCTGAGGAAGAAGCGTGCCATCTACCCCAACGACGGCTTCCTGAAGCAGCTGCGGGAGCTCAACGAGCAGCTCTTGGAGGAGAGAGAGCTGGAGCATTCTGGAGATGAGGATGTGACTCCAAGCCAAAGTCCTCTTCCCTGTGCAGGGACTTCTTCACGGCTCTCTGGAGCTGGGGACTCGGGGAGCATCAAGGGAGCCAAAGCCCACTCCATCACAGTAGAAGAAGAGGACACCAGCAGCATTCTGGGTAGTTTTATGAGCTCTTCATCAGTGGAAAAAACTAGCTGGGTTTCCAAACACTCCACCCTGATCACTGAGGAGGAAGAGGAACAATTGTATGAGGAATGGAGGAAGAAACAAGGCCTATCTGTAAAGGAAGCAGGAGTTCACCATGAAAGAAGAGCATCTCCAAAGCATCTGGATCAGGAAGAGGAACAATCTGATGAGGATGTGGAACGGAGGATTCACGATTGGCAGCGCAGAAATGAGAAATACCAGATGGCAGGTACAGCCAGGGAGGAGGATGGTGAATGCAGCATGGGAGGAAGACCTTACCCATCAGGTGAATTCAGTGATGTTGAGAGCGTGAGCAGTTTTGAGATCCGAACCCTAAAAAAGCAGCTGGAAGCCAGTAGCTTTAGCAGGATGAGGAGGAGCCGCACAGACTCTGTGTCTTCTGAGAGCACCTGGGACATGTGGAATCAGAGGCTTCTGGAGATTGAGAAAGAAGCTGCTCAGAGGTATCATTCTAGGAATAAAACCTGTGGGGAAAGACAATCCCCAGAAACGGGAAGAAAGGAGAGGGATGTGGATGAGGAGAGTGTGCTTTCAGACTCCTCCTGTAGCTCCTTCTACAATTTCTGCCAAAAGAACAAGGACAAGTTGACCCCTCTAGAAAGGTGGAAGGTCAAGAGGATCCAGTTTGGCTTTCACAAGAAGGATTTAGAACCATCATCTGCACCATCTCCAGCAGAGGATGGCAGCCAGGCAGGTCAGGAGGAAACAGAAGGGAAGAGTTTGTCAGATATTGATCTGACTGCTTACCAGGCTTGGAAAATGAAGCGGCAGAAGAAGGTGGGCAGTGAAAGCAGCAAGGAGGAATTTGTGGAATTTGCCAAAACTGAGGATTCTGCTTCAGCTAAAAAGAGGCAGAGGCGTGTAGAGCTCCTTGAACGTTCAAAGAAAATTTTAGAAGAAAGCCAGTCCATGTGCAGCTGGGAGACAGAGAGCACAATGAGTGGGAGTATTCCCCTGTCAGCTTTCTGGTCTTCAGCGCCTTCTGCAAGCGGTGCCGACGATGCAGCTTCTGCCCTGAGCATGCAGACAAATCATTCATCTTTGTCACAGGCCAGGAGTTGTACTGGAGCAACACAGATGCCAAATATACCCCTTCCCAATCTCCCAGTTGGCCCAGGTGACACAATATCCATGGCGAGCATTCAGAACTGGATCGCTAACGTGGTCAGTGAAACCATTGCTCAAAAGCAGAATGAGATCCAGATGCTGTCCCGTCCATCGTCTGCCATGGCCTCCCTGTCAGGAGACCTTGGCAGGCGAGCAGATGATGACAAAGTTTCTCTTCTTAGTGCTCAGAGTGGCTCATCCCTGGCTGCCTCTCAGCTCCACCAGCAGGACCTGCGCAGGGCTGAGTCTCAGTCTGTGCTGTCCTGCAACACCGCCGTGAGCGCAAGGACAGAAGGGACTGCTTCAAACATGAAGATGAGCCAGACAAGCAAACCACTGTATAGCCTCTTTGCTGATGATGTTGACCTAAAGAAACTCAGGAGGAAGGAGAAAGAGATGCAAATGGAAATGAGAGAAAAAATGTCAGACTATCAAATTGAAAAGGTGATCAGAGACAATAAACGCAGCACTTTATTTAAAAAAAAGGTGACCAAAGCAGAGGAAGATGAAACAGAAGATGACAGAGAGAGTACAACAAACAGCCACAGGCGTCCCTTGCAAGCAGATTTGGACAGAACTGATGCAGTCTTTGATCTGTCCAGTCAACCTGCAGCCTCAGGTGCACCAAAGTCAGAGGTAGATACTGATATTACCAAGTGGCTCAATGGCCTGAAAGCAGAAAGAGAACCACCGTCATATTATGATCAGACTGAGAAAGCTAGAGAGAAATATAGATCATCCAGAGTTAGACAGATGGATTCTGAGACATCCAGTTACAGATTCTGCAGATCCCAAAGAAAAGAGCTAGATAGCTGTTCTTCCTACGAGTCAACAGGAGATTCACTGAGAACCATGTCAAGATTTTCCTCTGCTTCTGCAAAAGAGGACAAAAAGATGTACAAGTTCACAAGGTCCAGGGTCAGTGAGACAAGTTCCAGAGGAAGCAGCCCAGATCTGCATGTTTTCAGCCAGTCACCTGAACCACCCTTTGACTCTGAATCCCCTGAGCCATCTACACAAAGCCGAGTGAGAGCTCATCACGTGGAGGCATGTGAAGAGGAGGCCAGGTCAGACGTGTCAGAGTGTGGAGCAAAGAGAAAGTTCACCCAAAGCTTTTCAAAGTCTGAAGAGGATGGAAAGAAGGAGGCAAAAGTGGAGCAAAGTGAAGAAAGGTTTGCATCTAGGCAGGTCTCTCAGTACAGGCGAAGCACACGTAAAGAAGAGGAAGAAGAGATGGATGATGATGCCATTATTGCTGCTTGGAGAAGCCGACTAGAAGAAACTACAGCAAAGCTCCAGCGGAGAAGGGAAGAGTGACCAAGATCAGACTCCAGGAACACAAGCAGAGCCACAGAGTCCCTGAATCACTCACTCATCATTATATTTTGATAATCCTTTGTGGTTTGTAGGGCATTTCCTGCAGATAGTTCTCTTCTTAATCAAAAGCGATGAAGGGAAGAGGTCAAGTTCTGCAAGTGTTTGTGGTTTGTCAGAAAGAAGATGCTGGTATTAAATGATCAATGTAGGTAGGAACACAATGTTAGAAGCCATTAGGAGCCAGACGATGTTTCAGCAGCAAAAGCAGGTAACGGTGACACCTCAAGTCAAAAGACCAATCACATCCCATTTTGGTTATTTCAATTTCCTAGTGTCGTTAAAGAGTGGACGTGTTTTTTCTAGGATCTTTTTGATCATAAATGGAAGAAGCCAACAGCCTTTTCTAGGAACTTAAAAAATGTTTTTCTCTTAATCAGTTTTACATTTTACGACTGAGAAGATATTACCAGATAGGCTCCATTTTCTGCACCAGCCTTACAAATGTCTAGAGAAGTAAGACAGTTCAGGTTTATATGTGTTCTGTTTTACTTTACTAAGTAGCAGAAGCAAAGTGGAATATTTGAAAAAAGAAGATGCCTCCTGTTTAGAAGTTAAGTGCAGTAATGAATGTATTCATTGTTTCCCATTAGATAAAGTCATCTCTGCTCCAGTATGGTTGGTTCCTCCTAATAACTTCAGGTCAACAAAGGAAAAACACAGTAATATAAGCAGCCATCCGAAAATCTTTGTTTAATGTAGTTAAAGAGATAGAGTTAGGATTAGTGTTAGTGTAGGCTGGGTTTCTGAGTATTGACTTCACTTTGGTTTATATGCAGCTCAGCTAAATTGGTGCTTTTGTGTTTATAGTCAGATTAATTTTCAACATGATTGCCTTGAAAGAAAAGAGCAATACACAAACTGACCTCATAATAAAATTGTTTAATCAGACCATAGGTGTAAGGTATCGTGCAGCTAAGGAGAAATTGTGTGTCTGTGAAGGGGGCACCTGGAAGCTTGTTTTTAGGAGGCGCTGGTAGGTTCAAATGGCATCTTCCAGTTAAAGTGTTCTTATATCCTGAGCTACCCAGGAAGAAGCCCAGCCTCCATGGTAACTGAGTACTCCAGGATAAGAGCCTCGGGTCTTTCCATGCCCTGCAGAGCCTTGTGAGCCTGTGTGACACAGCCCACCAGCTTGCCACAGCATCACTTGTGTGTCTTTCCACACCACAGCACCCAACCCTCACCAGTCAACATCCTCCACCTCTCTCTTGTAAGCACATAGGCCGGTTTCCACTGACTTTGGCTCAGGAATTGTCAGTTCTCTCTTCTGTACAGACTGTATTTTGAACCAACAAAGCCCTCTGGCAGAGCTGAATCTAAAACAACAATGGAGGGATGATGCAGTAGCGCTCTCTCACAGGAAGTTTGTCTTTTCCTTGTAATCTCTTCTCCCTCCCACTGTGATGCTTAGAGCTCACCATTACCATTATGCTAGTACCTCTCCCTATTTTAATTGTGTAATACAGACAGCAAGCTCCACAGGGCAAGGGCCTGCTCTTTGTCCCTGTCTGTATGGCGCTACGCACATCAGCAATGCTATCTAAATAATGGTTACTGATAACAAAATGCAGCTGGCAATTTTCCTAAACTTAGAATCATTTCTCTCAACTATAACTCACTGATCAGACATTATCCCTGCTTCTCTGAAGATAAAGATGATTCTTTCTGACAGCCAGGACTGGGGTAAATGATAGCTACTTATTGTCAGGTGAATGGAGTCTCACAATCAGGTGATTAACCAGTAACAAAGGTAGAAAAAATATGAGAAATCACTTACTTGTGTGGGTTGTTTTGGGGTTTTGTGGTTTTTTTGGTTTTTTTTTTAGTAAACTCAGATTACATTTCTGAAATACATAAGGAACATGGTTGTGCTAATGTTTCAGGCATGCAGAGATGCTCTATGGTTTATAATGCTCTTCTACTATAAAATAATATATTATACAATGCATCCCTTGTTTCTGTATATTTCTGTAAGTTGTTATTTTTAAAGTAGTGAAATTCCAGGCCTTGAGCCACATTCTGAGAATTTATATTGAATTTCAGCAGTGTGTGTTAGGATAGGCATTTTGCTCTTTCCTCCATCCCTGGTAAAGTTGCTCCGCAGAAAACAGCTCTGCATAGACATATTTGGAGCTTGCTTTAATTTCATCCTAGAAAAGGTCTTAAGTTTTGATGGATCAAAGTGGAAGTGTGCAATACCTTCTGGCACTGAATTTACTTTTTTATCAAAGGATGATTCCCTCTGAAAAATCCCTCCCGCTTCCTGTGCCTGGATGTTCCCAGCAGACAAGCCTGTCCTCTGCAGTACTGCAGGGGGCATCTCGCGCTGTAAAAGACGAGCAGGAGATGATGTAGTAATTGGTTTCATTTTGCACTGTACAGCACAGCCTTTGTTTGGGCAGCATTTTGATTTAAACACTAATCTAGGTCTGCTGCACAAATAAATTATTCAAGACCAAGGGGCAGAATATGGTTCTGTAACAAGTCTGAGCCAGACCATCCTGATAGCGAGTTTTGACCCTTGTGAGAAAGGGTTAAGTGGGTTCTGCTGACTCATTGAGGTAGGTGGCTTATTAGTTCACTTGTGTAAAAGGGAGATAAAAATGGTTTGCTGGGGAGAGGCCATCTAAGATGCTGGCTGAGCAGCCATGAGGGAGAAGCCTTAGAAATAGCTGAACTTTATTTTCTTATTGCTTATATCCTTGTTAATAAAGCCAAACCCCCAAAGCAATAAGGGGGTGGGGATCATTTTGGACTCCATGCAGTATATGGCCAGTGCTTGAAAGCAAGATGGGAAAGGCTCCAGCTCACAGGTATAAATTACATGAAACAGTGACATAAAGACCTTGCATGGTGAAAATATTAAAGCATTCAGTCATAAGACCAATAACCAGGAGAGACAGAAATGGAGGGGTTGAAGGCAGGCTAGAAAGTCAGGTTTTAAGATGAGAATTTAGAAGGAGATAAGGAATTGCTGAAAGGGGAGAGGTCTGCACAGATTGTTTCAGGTGACCAGAGCGGCAGAGTGAATGGTTTTTCAGCAATGACACCAGTCTGACAGTAGATTAAAAGAGTAAATAAGTACCCAAATTTATCTAGGAAGGATTTTTCAGCAAAGATGTGCTGGGACTGATATTTTTTCCCTCTCAGTTTGCTGCCGTAGGGAGGAGGGGTTTTTGGCATTGTGTAGTGTAAGGTGAAAGTGAAAGGAGCATCCATAGGGTCAGTTAAGAATATAAACACAAGAACATAAGAAAGGCTCTATGGGGTCAGACCAAAGGTCCATCTGGCTCAATATCCTGTCTCTGATAGAGAACAACAGCGAATACCTAGGGAAGAATATATACAGTGATAAAAGTGCTATTTCCCCAGCATGATCTTCCTGCTTCTAATCATTTGCAACTCAAGGCCTTCCTAAGCCAGGTGTGATATTTTTGTATTTAATAGCCCTTAATAGGTTTTCCTTCTATGTAAGTGCCTAGTAATTTCTGAGTTATAACCACTATAGCCTCATACCCACTAGCCTCTGTGACCTCTTGTAGCAAGAAGTCCCACAAGTTACTGCACACAAAATGCTAAGCCATCTTCTTTCTGCCTATTCTGATCCCTCTGCCCACTGGCCTTCAATGCCAATCTAGTGTCTGTTTAGTATCTACATGTTCCATGAGATTTTACCCCCCGTTCAGTCATTCTGTCTCGTCCTTAATTCTCTGGTTTTTCACCTGAATTATTTATTCCTCATATAGGGGGCTGCCCCATGTCTCTTCATTATCCTGGCTGTTCTCTGAACCCTTTCTAGTTCTGCTTTGTCATGTTTGAGATGAGGGACCAAATCCTCACACAGTATCCAGGGTGCAGGTGCGGCAGGAATTTATCCTATGGCATATTGGCCTTTTTTTTCTCTTTTCTGTTCCTTCTCTATTGACTGCTAACAGTCTGTGTGTTCCTTTGGCTGTTGTTGAGCACCAGAGTGATGTTTTCATAGAACTATTTATTTTATACACCAAATCTTGTTGGATGGCAATGGTCAGCTGTGAGATCATCATTTTATGTGTTAAGTTTTCTTATTTGTAATGTTTTACATTTATTAGCCTTGAACTTCATCTGCCATCTTAGTTCTCAATCTCTGTCACATTGTCCTTCTGCATTTTTCCACAGCCATCCTCCCATTTCTACTGCTCTGTTTCCTTAATGTCCTTTGAACAAGGTAGAAACTCAGAGGATGTGGGAAGCAAAGAAGTTAAGGAGGGATAGATGAGAGAGAAACCCATTTGATGTTGATCTGCTTGAAGTTAGAAATAAGAAAGTGATGAAAGTCAGAGAGCTAGGAGATAAATGTTCAAAAAAAAAATCTGAAGACAATAGACAAATTGAGAAGGGAACCTGTAGTGGTCAGAGACAGGAAGATACAAATGTAAACCAAAGAGGCCAATGCAAAATATTAATTTGTTTAGATTTATCAATGTCTGGGAAAAGGCTAGGAGGCAACATCTCTGGGAAGAAAGGAGAAATAAAGGAGTTACAAGTCTGTGAGAAATGTGAAGGGACTGGGAGAAATGGAAAGAGTGAGAGACATTAGTGGGATACCAATGATAAAATGACATTGGTGCTGGATTGGGAATTCAGTGTAGTACAAGCAAGTTTGAAAGAAGTGGAAGTGTGCCAGAAATATGTTATTCCTACTGTAAGAGCTGCATTTTGCATTGTAATACTGATAGCTGTGGGGCCATGGCCCATTTCCCCCATCCAGGAATTTCAGGACAATGTGATTTATTGCATGCAGCACTAGCTTAGACTGGATAATTTTAAAAGGAGTTTAGCACCATTTCCTTCCTTTACAGCTCCTTGAGAAATGCTTACACATTAGCTGTGGTGGAGAGCTAGGTGAATTATGAGACAAAAAGTTTTATTTGGGGAGGTTATGTTGCATTGCCTGCCTTTCCTTAAAGGGTGTAGCTGGAATCCATTCAATATAGACATTATAATGTGAAAACACAATATCCATGAGCTTCCTAAATTTATAGACAATCCAACAAAGGTACTGAAAGCATGTGATTAATATAGTCTAGGGCTTGGAAACAGACACTGCATACTCATGTAATCCTGCAAAATCTCTTTGAGAGCTACCTGCCTATTCTCTGGAATTTCACTTGTCATGTAGAAAAATGAAAGTGGGTCTGATCTCTGGCTGCTCTTCTAATTGTGAAGAAAACTTCCAGAATGGGAAGTATGTGTAACAAATAAACTGTTCTCTAGAGAGGTGAGAGCATAGGTCTAAATGGTGTGTGAATTGCCCCAGTCATTTCAGCAAGGTTCTAACTTATTTGCCCAGAAGTAATAATTTAAATGCCAATAATATTTGTCACCCTGTAGTTCATGTAATAAATTGAAAAAGGTTCAAAATGCATGTATTTAGCTTGTGTATTGCCAATACCAGCATAATCTGCTTGAATGAGCACCCTGTCATTGTGGTTGGTTTTGTTGTTTTCTGGTTTGTTTGGGTGTTTTTTTTACTTAGGCTGCCTTTTGTTCTTTGGTACATTTCAACATATTCAGGAGCAGGTTTCATGTTGTTTCTAGCTATCCTCCTGTTACAACCACTCAGTAGCTTCTGAGCTTGGTGTTTTCATGTGACTGCTGTACCTCTGCCACAGGGTGCACACACACCCAGAAACACACACAGATATAAAGAGAAAACATTATTTGTGACTTATAAAAGAATTCTTCCCAGGACTATCCAAGTGCAGTGATGTGAAAACTGTCTTAGAGAGCTGGAGAAGGGACATCCTGTTTGTGCTTTGAACCTTCCCCTCTGGATTGCATTTCATTTTTATTTGCATGTATCTTTAAAACAGACAATTTTAGTCCTTGCACAACAGCATAACTGCTTCCACATCTGATTCATATCTGCAGGTAGACTGGTTTACTTTTAGTTAAGATCTGTGTGCCCAGGAAGACAGAAGTGTGGGTAATAGAAAACTAGCTTCATTGTTAACTGTGAAGAGAACACTGTCTCTACATAATCAATCAATCAATCAATCAATCACTTATTTCTTTCCAGTGCACCCTTCATGCCAACATGCCTGAATGCTTTATGGTCATTAAATTAAATCAAAGAACACACCACAGAATGGACAAGGCCAGATCAATAAATCTTAAAACCTGATTCAAACTTACCAAGGACTCTGCACAAGTAACCATGACAGGAAGGATGACTCCAGTCAGGAGGACATGTGTGTGGGCATAAAACTGAAACAAGACTTAGGTGATACTAACTAGAGGACAGAAACATTTAAAGAAACTGTAATTTTTATAGGATCACCCAGCTGCCAGCACCATCAACCTGCAGCTTAATGTCTGTATTTTCAGGTTTATGAGTGATATAAGAAAATAACAATGGCGGCAAGAACTTTTTATAACTTTACAGCTGTATGCTTCAGGGCACCTCTTGCCTAATTTTAAAGATGTGCCTATTTGTGATCTCTCCATTTGATTATTGCAGGGCACCATATGAAAGAAAGATGCAGTAAACACCAGCTGGCAGTAACCACAGTATGGCTGCTCTGTCTTCATGGACCATCCCAGCAATTTGATCTTTGCAATGACTCCATGCTGAACTCAGATCCAGTCAGAAGTCATCCATTAGTTGGGCAGAACATTTCTCCCTCCTTGCTTGAGAGGAGAGCTTTATGAAACTGCAATACCTTTTATGAAGCTGCCAATTAATGGGGAGCTTTGTACATTTTGCTCATAGAAATATCCCAGTAGCTGTCACAACCTATGGAGGTT